CGCGTCCAAGAGCTCTGTCTCCAACCTTGCTGCTGGGCTGAGATCTAGGCGAGGTCCCGCCACACCCTGATACCTGGGTTCTGTTTGGAATGTTCCACAAGGAATGTGTCCCGTGTGGAACGTGGAACCTGATAGTTTAATACTCTGCCCACCTTCAGCCCTTTCCCTTCTTCTGCCCCTTTTCTTGCCTTTGTTTATTACTCCCTAGGATTATTAGAGACTGTCATGTATCTTCTCATGATTGTAAACTTTTTTTTTTAGAAGAGGGACCATGAGCAGAACAGTTACCTATTGCCACCGGAATGCTGTATAACACGCCACAGGACTTCAGTGGCAGATAGCAACTGTTTGGAGCACACTGGGAGTGGTTCCGCTGATCTTGGCTGGCCTCGCTCGCATGTTTGGGGGGTGACTAGCTGTCCGCCAATCCAGGCTGGCCCCAGCTGGGGGCTTGGCCCTGTTGCACGTGCTGCTCGTCCTGCATCAGGCCAGCCTGGACATGCCCTTCTCATGGGGGCAACAGAGGTGCGGGAGGAACAAGCAGAAACACACACATCCTCTTAAGGCTAACCCCAAAGTGAGCATGCCATTCCCTCCACCTCATTTTATTGGCAGTAACAAGTCAAGTTCATATTCAAGGGTTGGACAGATACAACTACACCTCTTTGGGGAGAAGACCTGCAAACTCACAGGTTCAAGGGTGTGAGGCCTTTAACGCAGTCAGTCTACCGTGGACCTACGTGAGTTGCCTCTTATTTGTACTTAGGCTGATGTTTGCGAATAGTGAATGCCTAATAAATAGATGTCGCATATAAGTAGTAAAATCACCATTAGCTGGGTTTTCTAATGAAGGTTGGGTTGGTTGCATGATATAGACATGAGCAGGAATTTATTCGTTGGAAGGGAAGTTTATGCCATTCTAGTAGAATCTGAGTTTTTCTTGCACGGGGTACAGAGCAGCTTGTTTACCACGAAGAAATCCATCTTCTTGTCATCTTTTCTGTCATGGGTTCCACCACCATCATTTTCAGGATCTTTGAATATAAACGTCTGAGAGAAGGAGAACAAAGAGAGGGAGAACTATTGCCACACACTGAAGTGGATCACTTTGCTCCTAGAAGAGAAATCGTGTTCCGTGTATTGAGCACTGAGTGCAGGGAAAGAGGGAAAGGCAATCTCTTCTTTAACCTTTGCTCTTTTCTCATCCCTTAGAGCAGCCCATGGAAGGAAGGGTGCAGGGGGCCCGGCCACTGCATCTGCATCTGCTGGGAGTTCATTAGAAATGCAAATACTCCCAAATCAGACACTCCAGGAGTGAGGCCCGGGAGATCTGGGGCTTAACAAACCCTCCAGAGGGTTCCGACGTGGGTGGTGTTTGAGAATCCCTGCCCCAGCCCCACTGGCCACAGCTCCCCTTGGCTGACTCTCGCACACGTCTGGGGACATTACAGCGCAGTCTGAGCCTTGGGGTAGTCACAGGTGCACATTTGGGACCTTCTGGTGTTGGGACAGGGGCATCCCATTCCCAACCATCTCCCCTAAAAGTTTACTTTGCATTTTCATTCACAAAGATACACCACGAAGGATGCCAGGGCTGCGTTTTCAATCTGCCTCAAGTTATTTCAAGGTACATCTCGAGGTTGGAATAGGTTCCTTTTCCCAAAACAGACCAGGCTTGTGCCAGGACACGGGACAGACACCTCCTGTCCTTCTCTCTTCGCCTCCCATAGGGGATCCCCAAGACCTCCAGGCCCGTGCCCACCTGTGATACAAAGAAACCAGTAAGGCAGGTGAGCATGTTGTCAACCCAAAATAAACCCCATTGCGAGTGTAAGGATGAGGATGGTGACCCTGGAGGAGGTATTGGACAAGGGTTAATGGTGTTTTCTACCCGAGATCAGAAAAACTCCTGTTTTCAGCTCCCCTAAACCTTTGTGTTCCCCTGACACCCTGAACGAAGGCTTGGCCTGTATGTTAACATCGTGACTCTGCACGGGCAGCTGCTGTGCCTGGGTTTCATGTGTGTGTGTGTGTGTGTGTGTGTGTGTGTGTGTGTGCGCGCGCGCGTGCAAGACAGAGCGAGAGAGTTATCGGTTTGCTGGCTCCGGGGTTGAATCCAGTTACCTTACCCATGCCCCTCATTTCTCCTTGACGGAGGCTCACACAAGCCGCTTCTGTTTGATTCACATAGAACCGTGAGAAACAGTCTCCTATGTGAGGCCGTGTTTTTCATTCTATTCAGTCTTTGTATATTCAAATTCTTCTAGTTTCAGCTCTTGCTGTTCTGCCAGATTTCCATGGCATTGATGGCTTCTCTGAATTAATAAGTGTTTTGCAATCACTGAAAAGTTTTCTCCCCCCCAAGCCCTGGGACTTATCCATATTGATTTTTTTTTCCCTTTCTCTTTCCTCTCTAGCTACTTCTTAGATGTTGTATTTTGTAAAGCGTTAATAGAATTTTTCTTTCGCCCTGACACTTTATCTATTCAGGAGGTCTTTGCGGGCCCCATTGTGCAGGCGGACTACAGAGGAAAGAGCTGCATTCTCTGCGACAATGCTCGCCCTACAAACATACACAGATCCTCCCCATGCTCGCCGGGGCGGAGTGGATGTTGGGAGAGCAGTGTTACAAAACGTTCGGACTTAGGAAGGAAAAGGGGAGCCAATTACACACTGCTGAAAGAGGGTTTTGAAAATACATTTTTAAAAAAAAGTCCAAAACATTTATTTCCTAAGGGAATTGGGTCTCAGTACCAAAGCATGGCCAGCACAGAAGGGTGGCTGTTTTCCTTACTGTTAGACATTTTCCGTTCAAAATAAAGATTTGGCAAACATCTTACAAAATCTGGAGATGGGTGGGAAACAGATGTCACGTTTACCTGCACGCTACCCGGCAGGCCTCACCGCCTACCCACCCGCACCCCAGGCATTCGGATTCTCGTGGAGTCCCAGGGTCTGAGTCTGGGAGTCCATATGCTCGCGTGAGACTGCTCTGCGTGCAAACACACCAGTTGATCTCGCGGTGGTTTTGCGTGAGTGGTGCCAGGGAGGCAGATCGGCTGTTGTGTGCGTGGCCTCAGCAGGTGTTTGGGGGACTCCAAGCCTGCCCAACAGGGGTTTGCCCTTCCTGGAATGGGCGTTAGGGTGTGGCGGCGTCTGGTGAAGAAGCCCATGTCCAAGTGATCTCCAAACCAGCGCTGCCCACTCCCGTCAGCCTGGTGCCCGGGAGAGAGGGAGCAGCTCCCTGCTGGAAGAGTCCCCGGGCAAGGCCATTTTCCTCCCAGTGACCGACTCCAGAAATGGGCACCAGAACGGGAAGGCCCCGGGAGCCTGTTGGTTCAGGCCTGGTTGCTTAGCAACAACAAAAGGGGACCATGACTCAAGAAGGGGTTTTTCAGCCAGGCCAGTCCCTTGGAGGCTTGTGACTGTCTTGCCTACCCCTGTCTTCCATTCTTACCTTCACTTAGCTCTTCCCCCTGTTGCATTTGATAGCACCTAGAAAAATATATGTGATTTGTCTGGAGGCATCATTTTAAACCTTGGTTTATGGCTGCCCCCAGTGTCCTCCCCTCCTTCGGAGACTGTAGTCTGGAAAGGGTGGGGCAGGAATGGCCGATGGTTCCTTTCCTCGGCTGGATTGGCTGGACTAGCTCAGGCCCCAGTGCATTAGCAAGCCTCTGAGCGCAAATGGAGTACTCGGCCCTCCCCAGCCACATACACACGCTGCCGTCGCTCCCGGGACGGACCTTCTGCCCACAGTTCCATCCACCGATGGCAGCACGGGTTGGGTTGTATTCTTACCGCCAACCTTGGACACAAAGTGAGTAGGCTGCTCAGTGTCAGACAGGTGCTCTCCCCAGGTGAGCAGCTGATGGGCGGAGACAAACACCTGTGCTGAAGATGTGTGATTTGTGGGATGAAGGATTGGATCATAAACACTCGTAAAAGGAATGGATTCCACAGCCAAATCTGGTCCATTAAGTGTGAGTTTTTTCTGAACTGTACGTGGGAGTTGAGTGTGGATCCTGAAATCTTCTTCTTGCTAGAAATACCCGAAAGGGTTGCAGGAAGCGCGGGAGGGGTCTGGAAGGGATTAGGAAGAGAGGCAGAGGGTGCCTTTGGTATTTTCTTCTCCTTGATGTTTTTGGAAAGGCCCTAGTACCAATGTATCCGTTTGCTAGGACTGCCGTATAACAAAGTCCCGCAGACAGGGTGGACGGTGGAAACAACAGGAATTTATTTTCTCACAATTCTGGAGGCTAGAAGTTCGAGATGAAGGTGTGGCAATATCGGCTTCTTTGGGTGGCCTCTCCTTGGCACGTCGATGGCTGTCTTTGCCCTGTGTTGGCACACGGTCTCCCTCTGGGCATTTGTGCCCTAATCTCTGCTTCTTGCAAAGACCCCAGTGGGTTGGGGCCCACCCCGATGACCTCATTTTAACCTAATTACCTCTTTGAGGATTCTGTCCCCAAATATAGACGTGTTCTGAGGTACGAGGGGCTAGGGCTTCAACCTATGGATTTTGGGGGACACAGTGTAGCCCAGAGCAATCAAAATGTTAAAGTTCCATTGTTTATAATTGGAAACATTTAAGTATCCAACACAAGGAGAATAATTAAGTCAGCCATGGCTTCTCACCCTGTAAAACATCCCCCATCGGTCAAGATAGCATTCGTGATGTCATCTGGGAATCGTTTGCAACAGTATAATGTTACATGTAAAAAAACAAGGAAAAATGTTATATACTATATGACTTAAACTATATCAAAATAGGCATCTTTTGTTTTTAAGCAAACACTGAAGGGAAATATACCAGATGTTAACCGTAGTTGTGCTGGGTGATTTTTTTTTTCTTTCTACTCTTTTGTATTATAAAATATTCTTTAATGGACAACTATTACTTCTATAATGGAAACCTCCCTCCACACACACAGCATATAATGTTTTGTGTACTTTGCTGAACTTCCTAAAGCAGCCTTTGTTCTGTCTTTGTGTTGCAGGTGGAGGATGCGATGCTGATGTTTGATAAAACTACCAACAGGCACAGAGGTAAGACTGCCCCGGTGTGAGAAGGTTGCCATCTCCCCTCCTGGCATCCGTCTCTTGTTACCCCAGCCCTACTGACAAATGTGCAGTGAAGAGTACAGGATCAAGCAGGTGGAGGTCAGAGGAGGGCCACAGTCACACAAAGAGCCCCAACACTGGACAGCTAAAAAATCCTTTCCTTTTGGCGTGAGAACCTTGTTTAATTATGCAGCCACACCCAACACACAGATTCAGATGTACCTTTCTAATCCTGGTTTTCTTAGTTCCTTGCTAACCTCTGCACTCAGTGATCCGAGTGGAAATTTTTCATGGCAGTTGTGTTCTCAATTTGCATTGAAGGATGTGGTTTAGGAGCTGATTGTCAGTCTAAAGACCACCCCCCAACAACAACAACAAAAGCCTTGTATGTATGTTTGTTGGATGTGTCCAGCGATTACAGCCCTGGAAATGCCCCGTGGCACCTCCGGAATGTTTAAGAGGACATCTGCAGGTATTTGCACTTTGTTCTGTGCGCCTCCTGTCCCATCCACATTACAGAAAGTGGGTCTCAGCCTGGGGTCCGTGAACCTCTGTAATGACATGCAGCGTGGCTCATGTTTGCACTTTTCTTGGGTGAGGTTTCCAAGCTTTGAACACATTCTCAGAGGGGTCTCTGGCCCTCCCCTCCCAAGAAAGAACACATTAAAATTACTGCTTTAAACAGAAAAATTGGAGGAATCTGGAAAATCCTGCCCAGGGGTAGTAGAGTCAAAGGAGGTTATGGCTTAGTGGTCTGTCCTCCGGAAGCGAGGGTTTCTGGGGTTCCTATTAACAGGGTGTTAATGAGCAGAGCTTCCAAAGGGGGTGGCAGGAAATGGCGTGCTGGTGTTCTCCAGGGAGGGAGCGGAGAGTGAGCTGTGTTTCCTTGCCACTCGGATTGCATTTAGATGTTTCCTGTGTTGTTTACATCCCTGCTGTCACCTGTGATTAGAAGCAGTTACCCAGTGCTGACTGTATGTCTTTCTGTTTGGAGAAGGCAGTGAGAGGGAGGAAGGAGTGGAGTGGGAACCGTCGCCTGCGGGAGTGGGAGAGGAGGGGGCGTCCCCAGTGCCTGGCAGTCGGCTGCTCGTGCATCCCTGTACCATAGACAGCATCCTCGAAATGGGAAGGTTGAGCATTGGATGGACAGCTGTGGCATCCAGTGGTGTTTATGGGGGGCAGGGGGGAAAGGGAGGGGAGAAGGGGAAGGCAGGGAGAGAAAAAGAAGGGCATGCAGGTGTCGAATGCTGTGTTGGTTGGGAGTGAGAGGAAGGAATTGCCCAGTGAGTGACGGGCGGTTCATGGTTACCCTCCATCACCACCCACATCACGTTGCTCTAGCTTTATGGTTTCCAAAGCACGACTTCCGCGTGCTCCTCCTAATGTGACCTTCGCAGCAGTCCCTGGGGGCTGCTTGTGACTCTGGGAGAATCACCCAACTTCTTATGCCTCAGTTCATTCGTCTGTCAAATGGGGGTAATAATAGTCCTTCCTGTTAGGACTGTTGGGAGAGGGTCATGCCCAGCCCTTGTCAACTGTGGGTAGACGTTGGCTCTTACTGTCATCGTTATCATCACCTCCATGTTGTTTATGAAGTAACCGGGACTCTTGGGGACAACTGATACTCCCAAGTTCTGAGTGGGGGCCCGACCTGGGACTGCTGGTTTCAGGTGCTGCTCTTTCTCTGTTGTGTCCGGCTATGGGGACGGGCATTGCCATCTGTTTATTTCCAGGGTGGGTGACGCCTATCTGAATGTGGCGCCGTGTTCAGTGTTAGAATTCATAATCCTGGAAGATTCCTGAGCAGCCCCCAGGCCATATTGTTGTCCTGTTTTGAAAAATCAATGTGTGAAGGTACTGTTTGATCTGCTCTGTGTCAGGCCCCCCGTGCTGGGGGCTTCCGTGGGCATCACCTCATTAACCCCGCAGCCTGGCAGGGAAAGAGGTTTATCAGGGAAAGAGGACCTTGAGAGGCCAGTGACTTGTTGAGGTCACTCAGCTATTAACTGGCAGAGGTGGGATTCTAACTCAGGACTTCAGACTTCTGGGCAAAGCCCCAGAGGATGTGTCAGGAAAAGTTCTGGCTTGTTTCTAACCGATCCCTGCTGCTGTGGGTGAAGCCTCTTCCCTTTTCCCAAAGGGGAGGAAGACAGGAAGGTGCTGGGTGCAGATGTGGGGTGGTGTCTGCCTGTGACTGGGCCAGGGGGGCGTTGTTACCTGTTGCAAGGTGGAGGAAGGTCCTTTCTAGGACCCGGTGCTCAGAGCACTCTGACCTGCCAGAGTTTCCGATACTGTCCTGTTAGTGGATGCAGGACCAGCTATATAATGTATATAGAGATGATTAAGAATTTCAAGATGACCACAGAGCATTAAGCCGAGAGGGGAGCCCTTTTCACCATGTTCGTGGGACTGCACCCCACAAGAAGCTGCCTGATGCTGGTGGGCCAAGGAAAGAGGGGGTCATGGGGGACGGTATGCCAGGAAGTTTCAACAGGACCCGCCGTCCGCCTGCCCTTTCCTGCCGTAGGGGAACCTCCTGCTCCTGGTCCTCTTTCCGCATAGGTGGGAGCTTTGGCCCGGACGCATTTTCCAGCCTCCCAGAACAACTGACAAGGTGTTTCTCTTTGCACTGGGTGCTGAAGCCAGGGGGATACTTCAGTGAATGCAGAGCATGTAGGGGAGTGAAAATTTTAAAAAGAAGAAGAAGAAGAACATATCACAACAGAAGCACAAATCACATCTGTGGAGCGAGCGGCCCCAGGCCGTGGCCTGATGGAGTGTGCGTTTGGAATCAGGTGATAAGCACAAGGAAATAAAATCCTCCTGCAGCCACCTGCCCCCAACCTGCTGTCACCTCCTCAGCTTCCTGCTGTCCATGATCTTATCGAGAGGAAAGTGCTGCAGTAGCAGAAGTTGAGGACACCTCCCTGGCTGGTGAAGCCTCCAGCTCCCTTCTCAAAGAGGTCCAGACACACACCATTAGCCTTGATGGTGGTCACAGCACGAGCTCGGTTGGCACTTCTCATCACACTTCTCAACCCCAGGGACAGCTACCTGCGTACTCTTGGAGCTGTGGCCACTGGGACCTGGGCTGGCCTTATGCAAGGCAGGCAGGCCAAGCTTCCAGGCCACTCAGAGGTCAGGGCAGAATTTCTACTCCTTGCCCCCAGTGGCCACTGTCTGTCCATGTTCCCTGGTGGTCCCCATTGGGGCAGGGATGGCCCTCAGCTCTATCTGCATGGCAGGTTGCCCCTCCTGTCCACAGAAGCGCCAGCCTGGGCCTCACTAGTGCTGTGGGGAAGACCCCGGGATATGGGAGGTGATGAGTGTCCGCCATCTGCCATCCTGCCAGCAGGAGGAGAGCCTGAGGTCACTGTGGAAGTGTGGTGGCTTCTCCCCTTCCTCCTTGGCAGAGTACCTTCTTCCAGCTTCTGCTGCTCCCATGGTGGTTTTCCTGGGGCTCATTTCCTCACCTCTCTGAACATTTTGGATTCCTCCTCTAAAACACACAAGAACTGGGACTGATGAGCCCCAGACCTGAAGTGTATTCCTGGCTTTCAGCTTTTTAACTACAAGAATGTGCAAGATGAATTCCTAACTGGGCAGGGAGGAGCAGGTCGGGTTCCCTGGGAGCGACTCTGAGATGGGATTGGCGTGCAGGAGGTTTATGAGGAAGTGCTCCTGATCAGGAGTGGGCAGAGGGAGAAACTGACCTTTGAGGCCCTTCTGAAATGGGGTGGCCCATGCCTCTGAGCTGCCCAGTCCCTGGACGCAGCACCCCTCCCCACTCACCCCTGAGGCTGCTGGCGTGACCTGGGCCTCCACTGAGGAAGTCCTGGAGGGGACCTACAGCTGGGACCATCTTCCAGCGGCACTCCCAGCGGCTGGAGAAGATGTCCTTCCTTCCTGAAGTGGCATCTGGGATCCTACCATGGTGGTTCTTACATACCAAGTACTCAGCACAGTGCTTGCACATACCGTTGAATCTTAAAGACAAATGGTCATAGATGGATGGAGCCACCCAGAGTCACGTGCTGGTTCCAGCAGAGCTTGGATGTCACCGCACCCTGTCTGACCTGGAGCCCAGGCGCTTAGCTGCTCTGCACGCATGGTGCTAGGCAGCCTTTGAAAGCAGGGGAGTCGGTGCTCTTAAGGGCTGGAGCACTTCCTCGCTTTTGTGTCCTCCACACCAACCCATCTTGCCTGACTGCCTCAATCCTCCTCTTCCAGATGGAGAAACTGAGGCCCAGAAAGTTTTGGAATGTCGAGTAGCAGATTCCTGCAGCCAGACAAAGGACTGGGCTGCTGGTAGAAGCTGGAGGCCTTCCTTGGCCCTGCTGGTCACTTCATTTCCTTCCTTCCATGTGACGATTTGTGCTCGGGGTCAGGGGTCAGTTGAGGGAGAGAATGGTGGCTTTCCAGTTTTCTCAGAGTCATTTCATTTGCTCTCTAAAAGTTGTGGAGGTGGTCTGAAAAATACTGTGCTCTTTGTCTAAAGATTTAATCATTGGGGGAAGTTTGTTGCTTTATCCTTGCAAAACTCAGATAAGATCTTGAACTCAGCATTAAGTATTGATCCTGAGGTGGGGCCCAGGGGGAGGGACAGGGAGGGACGAGGCGCTGTCCTTCTAATTTGCTCTTTTGTTGGCAGGAGGCTGGGGAATGGGGAGCCAAGCAGAGGCAGGGAGGGTAGCAGGGCCGGCTCTCCCTCCACTCTGCCCACACCCTGGGCCCTGGTGGAGAAAGTGGAATGCTGAAGTACGTCTCACTCTCACCTCCTTTTGGGGGAAGGGAGCCCTGAGCCCCCAACGTGAGAGTCACTCTAGGGGAACCTCAGCTGTCCTTCCCGCTGACCTCAGGGACTGTGCACTGCTGGGTCCCTCCAGGACGGTTGGGGGCCAGTGCAGAGCAGGTGGGAGTCTCTGAAGCGCCCCCCATGGCCTGGGGAGGGTCGGCTGCAGAGGGAAGGGTTTCTGGCAGGGGAC